AATGTGTGTTACGTCTCATCTGTGTGGTGCATGGGCCTATGTATGGCCGTGTTATAGGTTGTAGTGTAAAGAGTTTACGGAAATGATAAGTTTTTTTTCCATTCAAATCTTACATTTGGAAAGTTACTGAACAATGCCGATGTTCGCAGATGCTAATATTTCGAGGTTGGGACACCTGTGGTATTTTCGCATACATGTCTTTCGTATAGGTCACCATATCTCCTGGATAAAGTCATTTCTTGAGCTTTTCTGTGCCTTAGTTTGAGATTCAGGCCATTTTTAGGTCAATTGTTGAATTTGTCTTATTTGCAGGACCGTTTCTGGGTCATTTTTGCATGTATTTAGTGATTGTGAGAGATTATTACTTGGGCAAAGCGGGAAGTAAAGGATTCACGACGCTCAGGAATGTATCAAAGTTACAATTTTTTGACAAGATTGGGCATGCAAAGTCTGTAGGTTTTCGGTTTTATTTGGCTATTTGACGAAGTGATAGCCGAATTAGTCCCAGATATTTTGAGATCACTTCGATTTCTTTGATTTATTCTTCAACTTTTTCGAGGAAGAAAGAATTATTATTTTGGCTTTCTGAGGGTTTGAACCGACTCACCTGTGTGACCCATCAGGTCAGAGGAGACTCTAAGTTGAGGGATTAGCCGATTGCGCTACGGCGACCCAAGGTAGTTCAGGATATGAAAAAAAGTTATGAAATTATGCACTAGTTTCGGGGCAAGATTGGGCGTGTAGGTAGGCGACTTTTCGGCTTGTGTTGGCTATTTCACGAAATGAAACCGGACTACTTTGTGATATCTTGAGATCACTTCGAGTTTAGCCTTTGATTTACTCGAGGAATAAATAGAGGATATTAAGTGGCCGCGAAGAGACGCAAAATTTCTCTGCGAGTGTCGAAAAAAAAAACATTTCATGAGTGAGCCCTTCTTTCGAACTGTTTTATGATGAATTTAAAGTTACAAAATGCTGGACAAAGACATTTTGTCTTTGTTGAGTGTTTTTCAGTAAAATTGCTTTCATGCGTTGTGTGACTTTCTCGAACATTCTCTACTTTTTTGGATTATTCATGGAAAATTAATTAGGGCATGTTTACATTTCAGCATTAGTCAGCAGATTTGCATCAGTTACTGAAATCATAAAATATGTCGAAAAGCTACTACTATTCGCCCGTTTAGTATTTTCTAGAACCTTATGTCAAAAGGTATACAAGTTCCAAGCGAGGTCTTTTGACGAACTATGTTTGTTTCCCACAAGTTGGACTGCTGTGTTTAGTCGTGTGACGAAGGCTACAGGCTTTCAAGTTCTGTGTTTACAAGTTGGCGGAAGCCATAAGATATCTGAAGTTCAAGTGAGAGTTTGTTACTATTGGTAGAGGCTTTTTAGTTGTACTTAGGTTCAAGTCAAGTTTGTGTTGGCGGATGCAGTGTTTTAAAGCTCTGGAAAGGCTATGTTCCTTTAGTATTAAACTTCCTTGAGTTAATACGTCATTCCTGCGTGCTGATATTCAGTGAATAATTATCCTCAAAACATTCGAACTCGTAACAGCCAATTCCACGCTCAACGTAATTGACTCCCTACCCATGTCTTACATATCTTTAATCAGTACATGAGACTACTATGCTGTTTTTGAAGCCTCATGTGTCTAAGAAAAATAGAGAATTCTTTTTTCACTGTTTGTTTTGTTACACTTGTTGTTCACCGCCAGTAACCTCATATTTGACTTAGGTCTAAACGTTTAGACCCAAGTCAAATTTAGAAGGATTTGTATGGAGTCATCAGAGCATAACTGGGCTAATATCTCAGAGACAATTTGTCCCGAAATGCTAGTTTTTGGCAAGTAGGCCTCTTGGATGTTGCTCTTTTCAGAATACCCTGACAAATCTCATAATTTCACAAAGTAACACCTTACTCTTACCATATTTCATTTCTTACTATTCCTCCGCATTTACAATTAATCAGTTCCACAACCACGACGCCGAAGTGTACGCTCCGTAGCGTCTTGTTTATGGTATGAAAACGGTGATTGCGAATTTTGATAGTATGTGCTTCGTGTAACGGCGGGGCTAAAGTGCAGGTCACAGGCCACAGGTCAGGTCACAGGTCACAGGTCAGGTCACAGGTCACACACTAAAACCAATAGGACACGGGACAAAAGCTGTTCTTGATTGAAATTTTATTATACAAAAATAAAGCAAGCCAAGGAACCTCAATTATATTTTCTCTGTTCTGAACTTCACCAAATTCCACACATGGGAGAATATATTCATGTTGATCACGCAAGGAGGACTTGCGTTACAGGGTAACCAAAGTTGGTAACGAAATCACAAAGGCATGCAAAATCACGTGATTTGTAAGAAAAAACTAATCTCAAAACGAAGGGTTGTTGCGTTAAGAATATCGTGACGTGTTTGTGAATGATGTTTTGAAAAGCATTCGACGGGAAAACTGAAGGAAAAATTAAGGACAGTGTAAAACTTATTTGACCACTGAAATATGGCAACTTTCTTCAGACTTTCTTCGTCTTAAAGTCTTCTTGCGACTAGATCGGTCTTCCATCTCTTTCCAAAATGGCGGCCTGTTGCTCTAGCTTCGTACCAGCCACGAAATGCTGCTGTCTTAAAGAGTAGTCGGCCAAGAACTTCACACACTGCTGTTTCGGCCTCTCGAATAGTTGCTACACCGTATTTCTCGGCTCTTCTCCCAGGAGCTTGCCATTTTCTGACGTTCTGTTGCACAACAGCTTGAAATAACTCTGTTGGATTTGCCTCGTGGCCCTTAGATGGTAGCATTTCTCCATTAGAACTTGAATGTTTGACTCTGTAAACTGCTGATGTATCAAAGGATTACAGTGCTGCATGTAAATGACTCGCTCCAAGTTATCTTGGCTGCACGGTTTATTTGGAGATGACATTCTAATAACACGACATCACTTTGTTTTCAGTGAAAAACATGTGATTTCTTTTCGTAGAAATCAAGTGATTATGCGCACCTTTGTGATTTCGTTACCAAGTTTGGATATGCCGTATGATCAAGATGAAAATATTTTTCCATGTGTGGAATTTAATATTGTTTAAAGGACAAAAATATCATCAAGTTTCCTTGACTTCTTTTATTTTTGTATAGTAAAACGTCAGTGCAGAACAGTTATGTCCAGCCTACTAAGTATGTGGACAAGAAGTACATTGTGGTCACATGGTCACTGTTGCAGCAAGGGGTGGCCAAGATGACTTACTACGAGGTAAGTTGCTCGTTTTCTTCGGTTCTGTCAGTATATTATCCTTTTCATTACCATACCAAATCCCCTAAAGCTGACGGTTAGGTAAAATGGTAGTTGACACAAAGTTGTGCTTACATAGAAAAAAACTGCATCATGATCAGATCTCAAAGTTGTACAATATTCAGTCGATTAAACAATTTCATCGTCCGAGTAACCGCAGCGCTTAAGTTAAGAAATAGAAATATTCGCAAGCGGCAAATGTTTCAGTTGCTGTTCTCACGGATTGGCATGCAGAATTCATCAAAACAAGGACGAATGAGGTTATTCCACTGAAATGTACCCCTCTATCCGTTGACAAGATTTTATTTTTTCTGCTTGTTAAGGGACATGGTAAAGTACTTCGTTAGCAAGGGGTGTGAATTATTTAGATGTACAGGCCATTGGTGAAAGCCAATTTAGTGCCGACTCTGGAAGGTTTAATATATGCTTGAGCTTATTCCAACCAACGTCACGTGCCTGTCGAATGTAAAGTCAAATCTCAAGTCAACAGAACCACAACATTGTTGAGTTTATTTTTGTCCGAAAACAACTTGCGCACTTGTACCTATATCTCTATGAAAACCAGCTTACAGTTTTATCTAATAAGGGAATGTAGAATTCTTCAATGAACAGTGTCCTTCCCTACCAAACGACAATGCAACATACAATCGAAATATTCACTTTAAAACAATTGAATAAGTCTTCATTAGAGGAAAGGTCTTATTGCTAAGGATTTTTTGTATGAAAACAACTTGCAAAATCACACTTAAATAGATTACTTATATCTCGACAAAAACCTTCTACAGTTTTATCAAATAACAGAATGTAGAATTCTCACTGAACATAGTGTCCTTTCCTACTGAACAACAACAATGCCACAAACAATCGAACTATTCATTTCAAAACAAGTGAATAATTCTTCATGTAAAGAAGGGTTTAATCCGAACGAAACAAAGCCAAATTATTCATAGCGATTGAATAATTCTTCATGTAAAGAAGGGTTTAATCCGAACGAAACAAAGCCAAATTATTCATAGCGATTGAATAATTCTTCATAAAACAATGGGTACACATCGTCAGGTATGCGGCTTCCACACAGTTCACAAGGTGAATCCAAACTCCCTCCAAAATACCTCCCGATGGCTAGCTTGAAGTCGGCTTGTAATGTTCTCTGACATCAGAAGGTCATCATGGCTTATTTCCTTAGGCAGACAAGCCTTAAGTGGGTGGTAGTAAACAAATTCTTTCGTTTTGGCAATGCACATTTTTGTTGAATCTTTCTTTCTGTACACTCTATATTCCCTCCTCCGTAGGAATATGTCATAAGGAGCTGGTGGTGGATCCTCTGATGGCTTTCTACGAAATGATCCATTGCAGCCATAACACTTACAAGCTGCGGTGTCACGGATGAAAACTACCTCCAGCTTATCCGTGTTTTGTTCAGACCCACTGTCTTCATCTGCTGGGAAGCTGACACCAGAGACATCTCTCAAGTCGTTATTGCTCCTTTTTCTCTGCTTCTTTTCGTTCTCCTTTCTCCCAGTATGATTAGGAATTGAGCTTCCCACTAGCGTCGAAAGGCAAGGTGTGTAGGAGCACAAATAGGATTCCAGGCATCCATTGTGACACGCAACAGCTATGGTGTGTGCACAGATACCCTGCGATTTAAACTTGGGGCATTGATCATCACATGAAAGTGGTTTCTTAAAGTGTCCACTGCAGGAAACAGTATGGCAATAAAAGATCTCTGGATGTTGTTTCTGCATTCAAATACCATCCTCCTATAACTTTCTATGGCCTCCACCCAAGAACATAACTTCTTAGGAAATCCTGCAATTACACTTGCTGCTTTATCCTCTTCAACCTTCAGCTTGTATCGGAAATTGTGACATTCTGCGGCGTTGTTGTAAAAAAAGTCGTCCTTTAGTCCTATCTCTCGTCGTATTCCAGGTGCCATGCCATTCTGGATGTCATCTGCAATACACTGATTGAAGTAGAAAGTGAACTGTTCGTCCCACTTTCCTGTTACTTCTGCCATCATGGTTTCGAATTCGTCAGTTGTATTACAATCTACTAAGCCTCTCTTTGGTGGGATTTTACTGCCAAAAACATCTTCAAGAATAATTTTCTTTTCGGATGCATCCAACTGAAGGCTCTGCATTTTTGCCTTCATATTGTCCTCAATGTGTTTCTTGCACGGCAGGTAAGTCACTCCTTTAAGCGGTTTCAGAAACCCCTTTTGTCCTTTGTCCCGGTCTCCCCCGACAAAACGAACTTTTTCAAAAGCATAATTCGCTTCGAGTAAGTTATTGCTGAAGAAGAGAAATTGTGATTCGTCTTGACGGACATGGAAGAGAGCGGGACCCGGCAAATTCGCTAGTTTTCCCGTTCGTTGGTTAACAAACTTTGCATTTTGATACGTTGTGGAGGTGACATAAAATTGCCCAACATTAAATGTAGTGTCTATTGACAAAACACAGGTCGAATCTGGCTGACAAAAATTTTCGACGATTTCAGCCATCTGCCAGTCCTCTACGTAAACAACTCTTGGTGATGGTGTCCACTGAAGACCTTTGATACACGACTCACCCATCTCTTTTCCCAGTGCAAGTAGGGAGTAAAACTCGTCTTCATCATTGCTAGCTCTTTTTAGCTTGGCTCGCGCGTTCTTCACTTGTTTAATGTTTCGTGGTGCGTGTGAAATTGCTTCCACGTCGAGCATACCACCAGCCTCTTCAAATACTTTGTCATATATGGTTGAAGGCCCCATGGGATGCTTAACTTTATCTTCAATCGACTGCCTTGTACTTGAAGCGGTTGGGATAAAGGGCTTTTTTGTTCTTGGATGTTTCTTCGGACTTATGTGATATTCTTCACCGTCATACTGGTACTATACCAAGGCAAGATCAAGTTCGTGGCCACCTTTCTTTGACACGACTGTTGTTATTCTTGAGTAATCACTGTATTTCGCATGCTTCCAATAGGTGCTGAGAACAAGGTATTCATCTTTGTTCAATTCAAATCTATCTTCTACACGTCTAGGCCACCGTCTACTGGCTAAGATATCCCCATCTTCCACTTGCAAGACTTTTCCACTGTGTCCCAAATTAGAGAAGGAACCGAGATCTGTTACTAACCAGTCACCTTTGCCTTTTAGCGCAGACCTCTGGATAACAAAAGCCGCGTTTTCCTGTACACGTAGTGGCTGCTTTGTACATATCCTTCTTGAATCAACGTTTGTAACTAGCACATCAAACCTTTCTTCAAAACTAAGATCTTGTTTGCCCTTGTACAGATAAGGACATTCAGGTCCATAAAACAACACTTCTTCACTAAAAAAGACAGAAAAGTAAATAAATGCTGATAATTAAGCCCTGGTGACTGACAAATGTGCAGGCAATGGCACACTTAACACGCTAGCTATGAGGTTTCGGCCAAAGGAGATAAAAATCTCTCCAAGTCAAATGTATTGAGCGTTTCTATGAACACAACCTGGCTTCCAAAAAAAGTAAACAGGCTGTTGCTGAGTTCCATTCAATCACTGCAAACTCACTCAAACAAAGGTCATTAATAACGAGGCCGAGTCAACAGAGTCAATGTTTTTTATTTTTTTCAGAGAAATATTTGATATGGTTGCCTCTGAGAGAAGGTTGCCTATTTACAGGGCCCAAAGGTTGGATGGTCATTTTGATGATTGGGGAGGGGTGGGGTGCGTTAGGCCTACTTTCCTAAAAAAAATTGATAGCGGTTGTAGAACGTAAAAAAACATCATTAACTTTCCTTTTCTTTACATTTTCTCTGTTTAATTTGTTCTAACTTTAAAAAAAATGATAACTGTATTTGTGGAGGTATTTGAATAAAAAGATCTTAAAAACAATGTTGAGCAACACAGTTGCAGAGGAAAAGAGGTTGGATAAAAAAGGAAGGTTTATTGCATACCAACTTGATTTGTTTGTAACACATTTTACTTTTGGCGGAGTTCGAACAATAGCAAGTAGCAAATGCACTGGAAATTTTTCTGACATTTTTTTAAAGGCCCACTTTAATTTGTTTAGGCAAGTAATTCCCTTTGTGAGCGGTTTCATTAATGTTTCCCCTGTTTAGAATTTTCCACTAGCTAAGGGAGTGTTCATTATTCATTAGTAGGGGAGGGCTGGACAATAGGATGGATGGGCTGAAAAAGTATAGCAGTTCTGGTATGAAAAAAAAGAAACATTTTGGTTTGTTCAGGAAAA